AGGAGGAGGGACGTCCGCCGCCATTAGCGGAATCGGGGCCAAGCGGAGAGTCAAGTCCCCATACCTTAAAATGTACCGGTGCAACTGGATCTAATTTATGACGTCTTTACGCGCCCTGTACGTCGGGCCCCTGTACCCCTGGATTTTCTCACACGCGTTATCTTGATCGCCCTCCCCCTTTCCCCGCCCCCCCCCCGCCCCCCACCGAAGACGAAACGAGGGCCGCGATAAGACCAACCGAGAAGACTTATGAATGCGACGGGTGTTTATGGCTCCCGTCTTTCCTCCTTCATTAGGGAAGAAAAATCCGTCGATTTAGAAAGTGCCCGTCAAATGTCACGTCCAAACGTACCGATTGGGCGAAATGTATCGCCTGGGCCACGCTTAATTGTGCTGCTCGATTGACTATCGTTAACTCGGTGTAAATTACTGTCGGTTCAGAGTAATCACTCCGCAGCGAAACTTGGACGTAAATAGTACGCGGAACGTTGTATCGGTTCGGTAAGATTTATCCCGAGGTACGTGACCTACGTGAAACCTATTTGTTTTCTCTCGCTGCCTCGCACGCACCCTGAGAAATTCGAGCGCATATTAATATTTCAAGAGATACCGTACGGAATGCAATTAAATTAATTAAACAGAAATCCTGCGCGGACCCTCGTGACACGTATTTACTTTCACCTTATCCAGGGCGCCTGGCAATTCTAGTTAAGCCCATTGCTGTTACGCGACGGTCGCAGAGACTGACGGCGGATTCGGGTCCAACGAAATCAATTAAGCAGCAACGAGGGGGCTCTAGAGACGGAGAGACTCTGGTTCTCTTTGATACGATGCCGTTGATCGCGGTTCACACCGGACACGTTCTGAGAAAGCAGATTCTCGAGAAGAAACGAGACAGATCTCGGAACATGTCCATTCTTTTCTGGCAGAGACAAGCGCTCGCCTTTGAAAATCTATACAAGAGGGGCAGGGAGGGGGGGGGGAGGAGGCAGAAAACGGAAGAGAGTGAGAGGAGAGTCTTAACGATCTCAGGATGCGGGCGACTTTGGGGGCAAATTATCGGCCTGCGGCCAATTACCAGGTGGAGGCGCCGATATATAGAGGAGAGCGGTTGCCGGAGAGTTCCGAGAATCGTCCTGGCGGCTAAAAATAAGATCCCACCCGGGAGCGGTGATTATGTTCCGAAAAAAGAAGAACCGGGCGAAACGCTCGCTCTCGTGTGTGCAGGTGGCGGGTGGGATGAGAGAGGTGGGACGAGCCGCGGATGGTACGATGATACGGACGGGGAGAGAAAAAGAGAGACACACGGAGCAGAAGGGAGGAGGCGAAAAGAAAAAGAGTGAGAAAGGAGGGCCCCCTCGTGGTGGATCATGCGCTGGGGCCTCAGTTAATGAAGTTGTCGGTTGAGGACGTTTACAGGTAGAGCCTACCTGCGTGTGGTCCATTCACAGCGACTGCTGCAGGACTGGTTAAGAGTTGCTTTACATTTCAACCTGTGCATGTGCGCGTGTATGCAGGCCGGGCCGGCCGGCCGGCCGGCCAGTCAATTGGAGGAGAAGGAGGAAGAAGAGGAGGTGGAGAGCGAGAAGGTGATGGGGTATATTGGTGTACCCGAACGCGCGTATGTCCGTCGTTACGAGTGATCTCTCTCCTGCTCTCTCGACGAACGGTCGTGCCGACGACATCGAATCGCGAGGTCGAACCTCCGGTGTCTCTCGGGGACCGTATTTTCAAAGGTTTCATTTTGAAGGGTACTCTTCGGCTTAGCATCGCTTTGTATCGCTTATTGTTAGTATTGGTTTTTTTTTCAAATGGGAGGGACTGCGTGAAGTTAGCCCCCATATTTTCACAGTTTATTTTTACGCCTTAAATGGCCAGAACTATTTCTCAAACCCAACAAGAATTCTAGATCTATTGTAAATCTACAGGGAACCCTATAGGTAAATAATGGGGGGGGGGGGGAGGGTAAATCCACAGGGGTTCGCTTTGGTCCAGTTTAGGGAAGTATAATTGGGAGATAGGGAAGAAATAGAAAAGAATTCTTTGACAAGGGCTAAAAATAACTCCAAAGAGCACGCGCGATGCACCGGTTCGCCCGACGATTTATTATACCTACGATCCTACTAACGCAGGGGGTCATCGGATTTTGGATCCATTCATCCCTAGTAAAGCAAAAGCGTCTGCTTGATGTCAAATATGTCTATTTTAGAATATTAATTTTTGCCGTAAACGCATCTATTATTAAAAAGAGTCGGAAATAACGAGATTGTTTATGCATTCCTGGCATGTACCGTGAGTCGTTAGCAAATAATTCCGTGTAAAACGTATTTAGGATACATTTGTAATAGCGTGCGAATGTTCCTCGTGCTTTCGTCATCGTCGTGTTAATTTAATTTCGTCGCTTGTATCTTCCAATTTAGTGTCTTTTATCAGCGAAAATATGAATTAACTTTTAATAGGTCGTGTCCATTAGCTTTAAGTAAGTACGTAGCAACCTCATCCGGAAAGTAATATATGAAAACTGTGTTAATTACATCAACGTTATGTGTACGGAACGATAGTTTCGTTTTTTTAATAATAGCTGCACAAATTAATCATCTAGGGATTAATAAAAACTAATCGCTCGGATGGCAATATTAAAATTGCAACGATGAAGAAATATTAATCATACCTAGAATTTAAACTGTCGAAGATACTAATTGCGTCTGATTCTGTATAATAAGTATATAATTCCCTCAATAATGATGCGTTATGTAAGCGTAAGTAAAATTTCGCATGGCGTTAAACGAATGAAACGCACATTTTTTCCAATATCTATCGATCATCCAAGTAATACGGACGCAGGTGTGTACGAGCAAATAGCGCGGTCTCTATAAATACAGAATTATCGGCGGCTGGCGCTAATAAGCAAGTTGTAATTGGTGTGGAAACCACTTTCTGCTGTATTTTATGGTAGCGAGTGATTCACGTGATTCGTAACGAGTACAAGATACCATAATCTAAATAGAGGTAACATTTTTACATCGACTAACAAGAATATTCTTCATGTCGCCAGCAGCAATTAACAACTTCTGTATTATTAAAAGTGCCAGATATGGTCAATAAAAACACCGAAGTTGTTATTTTTATATCGAGTTAACGAGTCCAAGAATATGTATTCCACTTTCTTTTGCAAAGGATGCGATCATCATCAAATCTATCTTATCAAAAATTCTTCGCACGTGGCATCTCACTTAGAACATCGCATTTCAAACGAGAAAGATGATTGTGATCTATAACTTTCTTTTCCAGATGATGTATCGGCAGCAGAATACCCAATCGTCATCCAACGACGATTCCGCGATGTACCCATCGGCCGCGTATCATTCCTCGTGTTCGACGCTACCGTCGTCGACGTCGACGTCGTCGCCGTCGTTGTCGAGGTCGTCGTCCGCGAGATCGTCCTGTCCCTTGCTGGTGTCCGTCCTCACGTGGTCGTTGACGCTGCTACTGATCTCGTCCTGCATCGGCCTGGGCGCGGACGCCGCCACCCTTAGCGGCCATCCCCTGGGCAAAAGGTCGTTCTTCGACATCCAGTGCAAGGGCGTGTACGACAAGAGCATCTTCGCCCGTCTGGACCGCATCTGCGAGGACTGCTACAACCTCTTCCGGGAACCGCAATTGCACATGCTTTGCAAGTACGTTTAATTATCCGCAATGACTAGATACTTTCGCGGTTCGACGCTCGGAGACCGCGCGCGCTGCGCTGCTGCTATTCCGTTGTTGCGTGGCAATTTAGAGCGTAAGTCAATAGAAGATGAGGTATTCGTATTAGTTTGCGATGACGCGGTTGATAGAAACGCGATAGTTTACATAAGGAGGAATTTATGAGCTATCAGTTGGACACAATGAATATTTTCAATCCGTTTGAAATTAATTGCGACGGATGAATGAGGCTAGATGATCATTTCAGATTTCAGTTCGCGAGAGATAAACTGTTAGGACACCCTAGTAGCACCGCAAAATTTCGTCTTGATTTTATACTAAAAGAAAAACACTTGAAAGAATATTTATATGGATAGACTTCAACTTTTTAACATTTTTACTTATTCCATTTAGTATTATCTATATTAATAATGGCATTCAGTGTCTAATCTTCGATTATTATGGAATTGTTTCGTTTAAAACATCTAATTAGCAGTTCGCTCTTCGAGATGAATTAATAATCTCCATGTCACACCTTTTCTTTACAATTAACTCGTAAGCTCGATTTGAGGGTTGGGGACGCACGTTTATTTTTTGAAGTTAGCGAATGCATATTTCACTTTTCTTTAATTGCTTTCTGTACGGAAACAGATACGAAGGAAAAAATTGGGCACGAGTCTCCCAGAGCAATCTCATCCTGTAAACATCTAATGCACAAGATTGATCTCGCGAGCTTGGTGACTTCCGGCAAAAATCGCGATAGCACTAACCGAAGAAAAATTTCCCGAGTGCTCGATGAACGATTTCGCGAACGACTTCCGCCGCGTGATTTCTATCTTGAAAAATGTCGCTGGTGAACAACGGCCAAGGTGGGCGCACGGATATATGCACCTTTGCGTGTATACCTTCGCGGCGCACACGTGCTCCGCTCTCGGTACCGTCGCACGCACACGTACGCACACATTCGCACGTGCGCACGTTCGCCATACGTCGGCATGCATATCGAAATGGAATGAGATTTCTCTTCTATTTATAGCTCGTGCGAGCGAATACCAACGCACATCCGCGGCTACCTGCCGTTTGTACCGAGCCGCGTTAAGCCGCTTAACGGCCGCCTCAAAAGAGCTATTGTGTGACGAGTGAGCGGGATCAGCGTGAAAAAGGGACGGGCTGACTGACGGGCTAGAGCTCGAGTGCACATAACGGCGCGTAGAGCTAAATTTAGGAAAAAATCCCACCTCGCCGAGAAATTAAGTGACCGGATGCATCGGCGACCGCTATTTAAAGAATATCGATGGAACGATCAGATCTTTTTCGCAAAATAATTTTCGCAAGCACTTTACTTCCTGGAGGTAGAGATTAACGTTGAAATTTTGAAATGTCATCGATATGCGAAAGACATAAATAATGAGAGCGATATTAAAATTATTATTAACGCTAAAATTATTGTATATGTATGAAATTTATTAAGTTCCACGTTAAACAAAATCCGAAAGTTCGGAGTCATTTAACGTGTGGCCGATGCATCTACCTTACTCGCAAAGTTTATTGACCGTACAATAACAATCTAATTGTAAAGCAATCATAAGGAATGGACTTTTCTTCCTATACGATCATCGTGTTGGCAAGGCGTTTTTCAAGATTTTCAAGCTGCTGCCGAATGCAATTTGTGTTAACGTGACGTAATCCATCGTGTTTTTTAACTCTCTGCAGGAAGGAATGTTTCACCACGGACTACTTCAAAGGATGCTTAGACGTTCTGCTGCTAACGGACGAGGTCGGAAAGATCCAAATGTGGATCAAGCAACTCCATGGAGCTGATCCCGGGGTTTAGGTAGCCTTTTCTTTTTAGTTTATGATTTCTCCTTTTATTGTGCCCCTTTCTTTTCTCTCCGCTTTTCGCAAATATAAAGAACTAACTGTGTCCTTGCTTGCACTTCCTCGTCTTCCTTGCGCTTGCTCTTATCCCTCCTCGTCTGCTCTCGTCCCGATATAAGTCCACCCGTAGGAAATTCTAATTTGTTCGCGCAATCTTCGCGTATGTCGATTGTACGTAAACATCTCTTGTAACAATTGTAATAAGTTCGCAGAAAAATCGATCGCGTTTTCGATTACGCGACGCGAGTAATGACGAGCGTGCAAAAACCGTGATTGCATAATTAAGTGATCGAGTTGTGCTTCATCATTCGCAGCGGCGTTTGGATCAAAAACCACACGCGAACGCTTCAAAAACTGATAATAACCCGAGTCGAATATTTTGGCCTCGGTTTAGTCTCGTATAATTTTTGAATCCTTGTCCGTATTGGAGAAAATATATTGAATTTTTATTTCGGATAGGCCTGAAAAGAGCCGCTATTTCTCTTTTAGCAGTAAAGAGGGCAATGCGAGTGTAATCAACAGAGGTTCGGTAGATCCTCTTCGGCCCAAGAGATTTCAAAGAGAGTGAAATATTTTATTACATTCTCTTTGAGGATTAGAATAATGTTGAATACAATTTTTTACGCATCTCTGGGCCTCAAAATTGGAGTTTTAAACCGACTCCGAGGTCCAAATGAAGAGAGAATAGAACAATCGAGGCCCATTCCGGGACCAAATACTCGAATCGGGTAAGCGACAATGATCTGATAACAACGTAATTAAATAACGTGTTCGCCGATCTAAACGCATTCTTGAATCAATAGTAAGAGAGACCGAAGTTGTGAACGAGAAATAAATATCGCGGGGTTTCTTTTTCACCTTATTTCAATACATTTGTTATTCCCTTCGCCATTACTTTTAATTATATTTTTGTTGCATTGTAACACCATCCCCTGGACGAATATCCATGCGTATTATAGTATCTTCGCACCGAGATAATGAGTATGAGACATTAGGTAATTTCACGTAAGAGAGAAAGAGAGAGATAAAGATCTTATCTCTAGCAAGCAATGCTGCAATGGAAAACAAATGAATGTCCGAATCGAAATTGTAAAGAAACTTTGCATCTTTTTTAGAAATGTCAACGAGGTCTATTAAATTAATTTTGGACAATCAGCAAGATATAAATACCCGTTGCAATGTCCATGTCTATTGTCTGTGCTTATAATTTAATTTGACAAACTGCAGCATCGCTGGCGATGTAATATATAGCATCACCTCGTGCATTCTGACTTCACATTATCCACATCCGATGTACATTTTGTCTTTTTTGGGAACGACGATTTTTCGTCTGCTTTTTTACAGCGAGTTTACGAACGTTCTACATTTTGAATCAATTTTTGCGCCTCGTTGATGTTTTGGCAACGTCATTTTTTTCAGGACGATGGTGGCAGATCGACGGAACACTTTTTTTAGGTGGCGACATCTGCGATTTTGCGCTGTTTGCATTTTTGAACATTTTTGGTGATTTTTCAAAGCGAAACCATCACTCTCGACAGAGTGCGAAACAATCGATACCTTCCCATGCGTATCCCGATGCTTACTAACAATTATTAACTCACACAGACCTGTTTGCCTGAATGTGCGTATCAATAACATTGACACCGCACGTTGAAGCGTTTGTTCGAAAAATGGCATGCGAGTATTATAAGAATTGTTTTCAAAATTTATCAAAATTGCAATGAAAATTTCCTGGATTTCAATAAAAGTAACATTTTCTCATGGCAAAAAAGTTTCTCTCCTATTTCTAAATCCATCGAAACAATCGCGAACAGGTCCAAGTCCGTAACGCATCACGCCTTATAACCGAACTTCAGCGATCACTCGGTGTTCACCAGTGGACTAATCGATCTTCCTGTTTCCGATCTTTGCCCCCGCTGCAGGCAAGACTGCTTCAGCACACAATACTTCACGAGCTGCATCCAAGCGCTGCTGCTTGAGGACGAGAAGGAAAGGTTGCAGGAGATGGTCGAGTACCTAGGTCGCAAGAAGTAAACGGGACATGGTCGGAGCAACGACGCGCCGCACCACGAAGGAGACACATCACACAGTACGCGCATCCTTATACACACGCACGCATACACCTACATAAAATACACGATCACATGTATAAGACCAAGAAGGAGATCGATGCAGAACGCGGTCTCGGAAAAGGACTACAAGGGTAGCGAGGAGAAGGAGGGCTTCGACGCGTTGATCGTCGTCGTTCCGCGAACACGGAAGAGTCTGGAGCTTCACGGGATTCAATTCGGTAACATTCTTCACCCGAAGAGAGAGAGAGAGAGAGAGAGAACGAGGCGGGAGGGATGATTCAGATGTCGCGCGTTGGAGAACGGTGAACGCGTCGATCTCCGGATTCCGGAGAAATCGTCGACAACTTTTTGCCAGATAATTTCATCTGGAGACGGTCGATCGCGGGTGACCTGGAGAGAACGACACGGTAGTACTTACGACGTCTAGGTGGACCTCGGGAGGACTCGCGGTGGGAAAATTCGCGGTCGTATTCTGGAACGTGCGATTCGTCCGTCGGCTCGAGACACGTGGCTCTCGGTGTCCACGTGGCGGCGAGGGATAGCGCGAGCGTCGTTTCTAATATCGGCGAGTCCTCGCGGTGCGATGAGAGTACGATAGAGAGAATTCGGAGGGAGACCGGAAGGGAGAGATGGCGATCCTCTTCGCGGTGAGTCGCGTCGTTGCTTGGCACGATGAAGATAACGAAGTTACACGATAATACACTGAATAGCCACGGGGTAGCGAAACGGTACGATTGCGCCATACAAGTAAACACTCACACACACACACACACAGCGAATCCATACGAATTCTAGTCGATAAAATATCTGCGCTCTCGCGCACCACGCCACTCGTTTTTATTTGATAATTATTAATCGTCATCATTCATCACTATGTAGTAATAACGGTAATCTATATTATTATTATTATTATTATTATTATTGTATTATTATTCGATTACTTTTACGCCACGATTATATTTTTATTATTATTGCCATCCTTCATCCGTTTGTTGTTTAGTTAACGATCGAGCCATTTGCAGCCAGTTAACGGTTGGCCGTTTGTAGAGAAGGTGCGCGCGGCAGACGAAGAGAGAGTGTCGGTAGTTGGTACATCGTGTAACACAGATATATGTACACATTAACGTCTTTAAGGCATACGTGAAAACCGGAAATTGAAAACAAACGCGGGAATCTGGCGAGTTATTCGAAAGGCGAGACCTCTCATTCGGCTGAGCATTTTGAAGCGAGCGTTTAAGGAAAACGGAAGGTCCGTCGTTCGCTGAGTAGCCGACCGCTATTATTTTTTATTATTATTAATATTATTATACCACGTCATAGTAGAATTATTGTTGTTATTATTGCAATTTATATGACGGCGTTTTCGCCCGGGGTGAACGCACTGGCCGGCACGGCGGAAGAGAGAGACGCTCGCGATGTCCAACGGAAATCAATTACACGCGAGTTGAGTACGCGCGTGCACGCTGCGCGCGTCAACATTCTCGAAAGCTTCGTCAAAGAGACAGAGACAGGCGGAAAGAGGTCTTCCTGCAATTTAATTTATTTACGAGCGACGACGTCGCGATGGAGAGCGTCTTCCGCCGTGCCCGTCCGGGGCCGCGCACGGAAACGCGTAGTATTTATTTATTTTTCCACGTTTTTAAGTTATGCATAAGCGGCACGTAGCGAAGCAAAAGGTATTTAGCGCGCGTATCTAACCGAGGGAGCTGGTGTTTCGCGGGCGCGGCGGGGTAGGACGAGCTTCTTTCCCGAAGCCAATTGGATAATTGGCCGAGTGTACGATATGCAAAACAATCCCGGGGGAAAGTCACTCCGACCAGGGACCACTCGTCCTCGGCGGAGAAGCGAGGACGAATGCGAGAGGACGGAATCGATCTCGCGGGATCAACGGAACAAATTTTGATAGAATCGTTGAAACTTGGAAGAGCAACGATCTCTTTTGTCCAACTTTGATTTCAATTCAATCTCAGTCAGATAAACCGGACATCAAATTGGCCGTTTTGTTGATCCGTTCAATTTTGTTTTCGAAAATCAAAGAAGATTGCACGGACGAAAAGTAAGGCCGGCCAGGCCTGTGCCCACGATGCTAGAACCTGGTCCAAGTTCTAGTTTCGAGAAATGTGTGGCCAATAGACTTGCAGCTTTTATGGAATAGCTGCAAGTCGATTGGCTACACACTTCTCGAAACTAGAGCTTGGACCAGGTTCTAGCATCGTGGACACAGGCCTCGAAAGTCTGAAAATTCCGCTCCTTTCGGTGGTCTCTCGACTTCGGACTTGATTTCGGGGACGCGCACGACGAAGACCCCGCCGCCCGCCGCGCCTTGCGACTTCTTATCGCCACTCTGACCGAGAGAATTACGAATCATTCCAAAATCAGTATTGAAATCATTCCGTCTCTGCGAGCGTCAGGTACGGTTCCTCGACCACTTGGACAGCACTACGAGGCAAGGCTCAAATTTGTACAACTGCTGCGTCACACATTCCACTTATTTTACGTTCATACGCTCGCATCTATTTCGCGTTCGCTCGACGCGAAGGAGAAGGCCACGTTAACAAATTTGTAATATTTATGTCGAGTGTTTCGGCAGAGAGGAGGATCGAGACATATTCGTATTATTTAATTATGTTATGTAAGCACTTTGTATTATTCTCTTTTCCACCTTCTTATTTCGTTGTTTAAGATAGCAAGTCCGCAAGTTTGACTCATGCACTCCGAAGTGTTTTTCCCCGAAGCCGATCTGACGTCCGGGCACGCGCGTTTTTCGACGCATTAGGGAATCAGCGTTTTATTTATGCGGCGTAAAAGCGTCGTCCGAATGACGCGCGCGGATTGTGTGCAGCAGCGTCGACAGGCGGAATTCTCTAACGTCACAACTGGCATAGTCGATACAAAAGAAAACGAAAAGCTGGAAGAAGCGTTTCGCGCAGAAATACCCGTTCCAATTCCGCGTGTCTCTCCCCGCGGGGATACCTCGCGGATATCTTTGCGCCTCGGCAGACGTATTCGCGCGTATGAATACTGTGTCCGGAGTCGTCGCGAGGCGAGAAATCTCCGGGACACGCGCGGGCAACGAGCGATCCTCGCGGGAGGAGACGTCGACCGACGACGAGATAGGCTCGTGCGGGACCCGCTCGAGCGGCGTGAATCCGCCACTTCCCCGTTTCGCACCTGTCGACGCGAGCTGCGGCCACGTGCGATTCGGCCCTCCGTCGATGCGCGCGGGAGAGCACGCGCATTGCGTGCGCACGTGCGCATCCGCGACCCCGCGGATACGTTTCTCCTTTCGGCTTCTTCTCCTTTTCGCAGACTTCTATGTATT